AGTAACTGCACTAGTTGGGGTGAGGATTTCATACTGTGGGTAACTGGTGAACCACTGTGTTGTATATTTGAAACTAATAGAAGATTGTATACCAACTATACCTAAATAAAAAAATAAATAAAAATCAAAATAAATGGAAAAAAACCCATAATGGATATATATATTAGATGAGAGTGCAAGGAAAAGAAAAACTGTTAAAGATTATGAATTGATTTTCAGTACAACCATCTTTTGTAAAATGTCAGAGTTCATTTAACAATAATATATTTTAAGTAAAATTAATAGAAATATTTAGAAGAATAGCAGTACTTTTATGATACATTAATGTAGGGTCTCACGTTTATTAAGTCACTTAATGAATATTTATTGTTTTCACCATGTGTGAGGCTCTCTGCTCAGTGCTAGTGACAAACGAAGAGCACAGATTTATCATGGGAAGTAGCTGCGAACAAGGCAGTTCATCCTTAGGCCTCCATTTTTCTTCTCGCCAGAATAGTCCAAAGCATTCTCTGTGTACCCAAAGCGCTCCTTCCAAGAACCATCCATAAGAGGTGGCAATCTCTACCTCCTCCCTTCCCACTCCGCTTCTAGCCAAAACCAGCCAGATTTGTATGACTATCCCATTCCTTCTAGTAATCTACTCTCCCTCCAAGTCTGTATTAACAGATGGCCTCCCAGGCAACACAATGTCTTAACCCAGCAAAAATGCAGCTATGCCCAGAAAGCTCCTAGGAAGAGGACCATGGGTTTTAGCCTGAGTTGCCTTCCTGTACTTTCTCCCAGTATTAGTAGGTTTGCTTTGATCTGATGTACACTTGTGCACCATTTTCAACCGTGAGTTCCCTCTGGACAAGAGTGGAGGACGCTCCAGGCAAAGCAAACTGGATGTGCAAAAGTACATCATGTGCCACAAAGCAGGGTGGCTGGGCTGGAGGGCATATGTGGGGAATGACAGCAGGTGGGGCTAAAGATAGATAAGGGTGGAGATAGGTAGTGGAACCTTCAGTGATAGGTGCTGGGGAGCCCTGGCAAGTTTTAGGCAGAGGAGCGGGATGAACTGGTTGGTGTTTTGCCAAGTATATGTTAGCAGAGTAAGATGGATAGGGAGGGGTTTCTGCCTAGAGATAGAGGGGCTTGAGTTGAAATAATCTGGGAGAGAAGTGATGAGAGTTTGAACCAGATGCAGAGGCAAGAGGCGGGGCTGCAGTGAGATGATCTGAGAAGGCAGAACCCAGTGTCAGCACTTGGGGAATAATTGTACAGAATGTGGTGAGAGAAAAGATCCTGTGGTCAGTCCCAGACATTGCATCTGGAGATTGTCACTGACCAAAGTCAAGGTCTTCCCCTCCAGGACGTATTTGGATTGAAAAATAAAGGTGGAACAGAGCAGGGAAGGAAGACAGAGTCTTCCATATTGCACCAATCTCTTAGAATCATGTTTCCCAAAGCAGTGGAACAAGAGATAATTATAGATGGTATATTAGAATCAGTGACTCTTGTGGCCAGAAACATTTTCCCTTTTCTGTTATCTTTCTGTCCTGATTAAGTCAAGGTGAAAGCCTCGGTACATCTGTTAACACTTGATAATCTCCTTGAGAGAGCGCACGAGCAGTCTGGAGCAAGCCTCGGGTTCAGAGCCGTAGGACAGTACCAAGCTCGTCACATTATTTTGTTTTTCTTGAAACATATGTTTAGGATTACCCCTCTGTTTAAAACACATGATTCTGCTTTCCATTTACATAAAAGTTCCTGCTTGAAACAAATGTAACCAATGGGGGAACATCCACTGGTTTAGGAAAAAATACTAAGTAAAAAACAGGACAGGAGATATGCAGATGTAATGAGAATTATGGCACAGGAAAGGCTTATGCTTGGGAATCCCTGTCCTAAAAGAACCTATAGCTGATTAGGAAGGTAAATACCAAATCAGATCTTCAGGGTGACCTAAACATAGTGAAAGAAGAAGATTGCAGTCCTCTGGAAGGACAATCATGCAGTGATGAGGGTTTTGAGCAGTTATGAGTAGGATGAATTTGGGGTTTGGTGCTGAGGCCCACGCAGGAAGGAATAGGTATGATGGAAGTGAGCATATACTGAGAAGATTTTCCCTTTTGCACCAAAAGCCCCAAGTGCCCCTGGGGAAGGGACTTCTCCGTAGGCCAGAGCAAGAGGGCCTGACAGGTCTCTCCAGAAAGCGGCATTATTTCATCTTGTGGTTTGTTTCTGCAATCAGCTAGTATATAAAGTCTTCAAATTAAACTTTTCTAGCAGTCCATCACCTTAACCACTTGGCCACCTCATCACCCTAAATTAAACTTTCCTAGAAAAAATGTATTTGAGGGAGAAGAAACAAATAACAGATGTAACTGTTGCTGTGAGCTTAAAAAGGTGGTAACTTTATGCTTAGCAGGTGCTTCTTCCAGGGACCCAAAGCCCTGGACCCCAATAATGGCACAACAGTGCCTTCCAGTAGCCACCCCGCCACGGGTGAGTGCGAGTGCATGAGGAGGAGCTGGATGGGGGTAGCCCTGGTCACTGACAACACTACCGCCTTCTCCTTGACCCCCAGGAACGACGCGGTTTACAGAGACAAGGCCTGGAAAAAGACTCAGGTTTTTGGGAGAAGCATCTGCAGCGAGGATAAGAAGCTGCTGAAGCATCGCTGGTGGGGGAAGAGCCCCTGAGGGCCCTCGGGGTGTCTTTCAGGCTTCCTCCGTGGGTGGGTGACTCCGCCCCCATACGGTGCAGACCCGAGGAAGAGGTCCTTCTTCTCTGGCACCTCAGCGTCATTTCTTCTCCTTTGGAGGATTTTATGTTTTGCTTCAGGGAAGGATGCCGTTTTCCACAGTGCCCTGGGAGGGAGATGCTGACAGAAAACTTGAGACAAAAGCAAACAAACTTCATTTTCTACCTTTTTGAGTCTTGTTCTTCTTCCAGAGGCCGAAGATTTCCAGTTTGGGGAAATCATGTGGCCAGCCAATAAACCCCAGGCTCACAGGGGCCCGGTTAACCAAACCACCAGAGGGTGGTGTTTAAACAAAGGACCTCAAGAGCTAAAACCCTGGCCTCTGAATTCTGAATCTTGGCACTTTGAAAAGGCAAACATCAAGGTGACTCTAGGTGAGAAGATAAAAGCTTCAGAAAATGAGAAGAGAGAAGCTTTTCATGGTTATCTGGCCAAAGAGAGAAGTCCTTCCTTAGACAACCCAAGGTCCCTGTTCTAACCAAGGACCACCACCACCGACGGGAAAGAGCACCTCGTGGCTTCAGGGCTAACTGTCCTGTCGAAGTGGAAGGCCGAGTCCTGCTCTCAGCTTGGGACCTTATCAGAGGGTGTTAAGGTTAGAGACTTGAAGCTGGGAAGACTGGGCCTGGTCCCTGCTCTGCCACATCCAGCTGATGGGCCCTGGACAAACCACTAACCCCGTCTGGGCCTCCGCTTCCTCGCGTGTTAACAGAAAGGCAGTGGGGCCCACTGCACAGGGCAGTCGTGAGGCTCAGAGGGCAAATTTAGAGCATGGGGAGGAATTCTGCTCACCCGTTTTCAAGGATATGTATGTAAACTAGATGTGACTCTTGAACTGTTAGAGGCCAAGGTATGTGAATAAATATAGTTTTAATGGCATTGTTGCTGCAGTTATAATCACCTGGAATTTTTCCAATTTCCAATTTTTTCACCTATTATTTTAATTTTTGCAGCAACCCTTTGAGGAAGGCAAGGAAGGGCAAATGATGGTAGTTCCATCGTACAGGGGAAGGAGGCAGCAGGTTAAATGTGATGTATGAGGGTGCCTGGCTGCTTTCCGTTCAGCCCAATCCAATAGAGTTGAAATTCCACATTTTCAAAACAGGAGTTAATCCAGCCTGGGGTCCTACAGATGAATGATAAAGAAAGGGAGAGGAAGTTGTGTAGACTAAGAGACCTAAGAGACACATCAGCTGCTGGTGGGTATGAGAGTTCTGAGGGTGATGAGAATGTTCTAAAATTACATTACGGTGATGCTTTTCAACTCTGTAAACAGACTAAAAAACATTGATTTGTATACTCTATAAAGGTGATTTTATAGTATATAAGTTATGTCTCAACAAAGCTGTTAAGAAACAGGTATATCCCCCCTTTTTAATGGGTAAGACTAAATTCTTGTGGCTAGGGATGTGCATGTGGATGCAAGGATGTGATTGCTGTAAAAGTCAGGACTCCTTTCATGGAGGGAGGGTTTTGTGATTGGGATGCAGCACACAAAGGAGCTTCTGGGGTGGATAACAAGGTTTTACTTCTTGAACTGAAGGGTATTTACCTTAATATAATTTATTACATTCCACATGTGTTTTGTGTAGGGAAATCACATGTACAATGACACCCTGCACTGGCCAGACTGTAATAAGGTGGCCCCCATGAACCCCCAACTCCTGATATTCCTGCCCTTGAGTATGGGCAGGACCTGTGACTTGCTTCTGACCGACAGAATAAAGCAAAATGATGGGATGTGTGTGATGATGTTTATGTAGTTATATTATAGACATGTATATATATTATATTTCATGTCCATCTAGCTAGGTGACATTCTTTACCTTGCTGGCTTTGAAGAAGTAAGCAGCTGTGTTGCCCATAGGGTAAGGAACTGGGGTGACCCCCAGCTGACAGCCAGCAGGAAACCGAAGCCCTCAGTCTGACAGCTTATGAGGAACTGAAAGCAACAATCACATGAGTTGGAAGCAGATCCTTCCCCAGGTGAGCCTCAGATGATACCACGGCCCCAGCTCATGCCTTGACTGCAGCTGTAAGGCTTCAGAGCAGAGCTCTCAGCTAACCTGTGCCCTAACTCCTGGCCCACAGAAACTGCAAGATAATAAACATGTATTATTTGAAACCACTAAATTTGTGGTACTATTATACCACAGCAATTGAGACATGCCCCTTGTACTTGGGAAGGGGTCCCAAAGCCACTCTCAGGTTCAGTGATTCATGAGGACTCACAGAATCAGCAAAGCAGTTATACTCCTGGTTACAGTTTATTACAGTGAAAGGACAGAGATTAAAATTAGCAATAGAAAAAGCACACAGGGCAAGAGCCAGAAGACACCAGTTACCTCTCCCAGTGAGTTGTATGGACAATGCTTAATTTCCCAGCAACAATGTGTGACAATGCCCAGGGAGTACTACCAACCAGGAAATACTCACCCTGGCCTTGTTGTCCAAGCCTTTTACTGGGGGTTGGTCATGTAGGTAGGCCTCACTCCCCTGTGGCTGACCCATCCAGAGGTCAAGCTGCTGCCCCAGATCCCCAGGTAAACAAAGACACTTTGATCAGTCAGGATATTCCAAGGGCTTAGAGGTTACTTCCCAGAAGACAGTTGAGGGCCCATCTTTTCTTTGAAATGTGCAGAGTTTGAACACCCAAGCTTGCAGAGTAAACCCTTTACTGCATAGTCCTTCAGAAGTGGGATTCCTGTCAAGTCACCACCCTGATTGGAGGCAGAGAGAGAGAGACCAGGAAATACCTGAGGAACCTTTACACCTTTACTGGCCTTATAGTCAGAGAGTTTCCGGGTTGTAAGCCATACAGCCAGAAGGCAGGGCGCAGAGGAGAGGAGGCAGAGACTGGGCACTCAAACAGAAGCTTCTGGTCATTAGCCACTGAATAGAAGGCAAGCTTCCCCTCCTTGAGGTCCAGCCAGATGCCCACAACCCTAGGTTTTTCTGAGCCGAGGACAGTTTCCTTGATCATGTGCCATGCAGAGAGTTGGCTAGTCCCCTTCCACTCTACACACCAGGAATCCCTGGTCCTTCCCAGGATCTGGTGGCGGTTTATCCCCCAGGAAGCCACACCAACTGCCCAGTGGCTGCAATTCTGAGTGTCCACTTCCCAGTACTGCTGCCCAGAAGAGAAGGCCTGGGAACATAAGACCTGGCAGGTCACAAATCTCTCCCGACTCCAGGGGTAGGCCTGTGGGTAGTGACATACAGTCACTGTCTGGCAGTCCTTGGACACCTCCAGGCTGCAGGAGAGGCTCTGCAGGTCAAAGGTCGGACTGATGGCCCCTGGGGAAGAAAATGAGAACTTGACCAGCCAGTCATGATCATCCAATGCCATGAGATCCTCATATAGCAAAAGGCAGCTTTAGCTTTGGGTGCGAAAGGTGTTACCCATATTGGTATAAAAATTGGTATATCAGCTGGCAGTTATCTGTACATACCCCTGATGTTGTTCTGTTAACAATACCCCTTACTTACCTTAATTTCTACTCACCCATTAGTCCTCTTTCAGGAAGCCCTCTCTGAATCCCACCCAGTTAAAGTCACCTCTTTTCTTAATACCCCTTCTGCTTTACCTGTCAGCTAATAATAGTTACAATCTTCTCCCTATAGTATAGTGATTTATGACCACAGCTGTTTATATTTCCCCAGTGAAACATAAGCCTCCTGATAAAGGACTTTGTCTTCTCATTTTGAATATTTCATGCTGTTTCCTACTAAGTGAGTAAAAAAATCACTAACACTCACATATTTACTCATATTTGCACATTTATACACATCCTCCCATTTAAACCTCATGACAATTCCACACTGGAGGTTAAGTACTATTTTTTTATTGACATACGTTGGTATATAATATTGTATTGGTTTCAGGTGTACCACATAGTAATTAGACAATTATATATAGTATGAGATGCTCACCACAATAAGTGTACTTAGTTTACAATAAGTAAAGTAAGACTATTATTATCTCCATCTTACAGATGAGGGAAGTGAGACTCTAAGAGGTCATGTGATTTGTCCAAGCTCACACAGCTAGAGAATGGAGGTGCTAGGAGTCAAACGCAAGCAATCTGGCTCCAGGACCACTTCAGACAGGACAGCGATCAGTACCTACACGGGTTGGGGAACGGCAGCTGGCTGTATGTGGTGGTTCCAGCATGGATGCCCAGAGGTTGCCTGAGCCCTGCATGCTCACGGGTTTGGCTTAGCCTGCAGTTTGGGAATCTTCAGTCCCCTTTGTCCATGTAACCAGCTCCCCATGTGGAAGGATCTAGTCTGGGTATAGTGAGAACACGGGGCAGTCCGAGCAGCGGGGAGGACACGGCATGCTGTCACAGCTCCTCTCTACAGCAAGCCGAACTCCCACTGAAGCAGACCGTGTACTTACACTGATCAAAGCAGGAGACCTTCTTGGGTGCAGGGCGGCTCTGGTCAGGCAGTGGGCATGCAGAGGAAGGTGGAGATTCTGGGAGTTCCAATAAGGAGTACAAAGAATTGGGAAAGGGAGAAAGTCCCATCAAAAAAAGGCAAATGGAAGGTGTCCAAACATTGTGATCAGGGCACATGGCTTGTCTTCCTCAACAGCAACATATTTCTTAGTGTCAGAGCTTGATAAGGAAGCACACCCACCTCAGGTACATCCAGCCCCATGTTCTCTCTGTGGACTTCTGTTACTGTTTCCCCACTAAGCTCTAAGTTCCTTGCTGGCAGGCACCTTGTTCATCTCTATGTTCTAAGCACCAAAGCCCAATGCCAGTATTTGTGTCCAAGCCCCAGAGCCAAAGCCCAGGAAGTATTAATGCACATTTATCAAATAAATTAACTAATACATTTCCAGGGGATCATGGCATCCTGGCACCAGAAATTTCCCTGACCCCGATGTCAATGCTTTAAACCTTACTTGCCTAAATAAATTCTGAACGGACATTCAGGAAACCAATAAAAATGGTTAACTGAGATGGAAAAATAAGAAAATTGGGAAAGGGTGGGATAGAGACTTTCACAGTATGTCTTTTTACACTGTTTTGATTTTTTAATTTTAAATTTAACCCCAAAGTTTAAAAATTGATCTTAAATTTATATAAGTAAAGAAAATTACTAGGGAACTCAAACTAAATTTAGGAGGGCAAAGGAACCAGAAGGGCACTTATTTATCAGATAATTTTTGAAACAACTAATAAACGGTGCTCTAATTGGTTTCCTTCAGAAATTTTTCCAAAGAATCATGTTTCTCCACTTAAATAAAGAGTGACTTTTTAAGCAGAGCAAGATCAATTAAATGTTAAAAAGCTATAAGAGATATGACTCCAAAGTGTATGAAGCTCGCAGTAGTTGGAGCAGGGGGCAGAACTGAAGGAGAGCAAGCTCATATCTAAGGGGCGGGTGTTTCAATCATGACTAGAGGAATGTCAGAGAACCTACAGGGTCAGGACAGAAAGGTTCTGTTCTACATTGTTACTATTTAATATTAACACACTCCCTAGAGATTATGTTTTAATAGAATTTATCAAGAACTATTCACAAAGTGGCATGCTTTGTTAACAAAGACATTTACTAGTTAAAAACGCAAAGCAGCCTATTTCTAAATCTCCTCTGGTACGTAACACAGATGAGTGGTACACTAGCAAAATCAGGTCTAGGTTCTGGATTTCTAGGTCTTAGAAAATGCATTTGTACCTATTAAAGGCCTGTGTGAAGTCACACTTCCAATCATGTCCGAAAACATATCCACCCACAAAACACCTCAGCCCACTCCTTCCTTATAACACCACAGTGACAATACAGCAAGGCCCTGGGCTCCTGTCCCCAGAAAGCAGCCATGAGCACTTTGTCATTCCCCCCAACTTCCATATTTAATCCTCTTTCACCAAATAAAAGCAACTCACCCTCCCTTTGTTCAAGGGCCTCCTTCCATGTGAAGTTTTCCCATAATTTTTCCTGGATTTCTTCTAGGTTGTGCAGAATGTTTCTCATTCTTCTCTCAGGTGTGTTGGAAGCCTCTAGCTTTGGAGAGGCCAAGGAAAGGTCCACCCCACCAGAAAAAGCCTGTAGATGAATCACAAAAAATAAATACATAAATGAAAGTCTCCTAACAATCTATCAAATATTACATTCCCATTCTGCCATCTATCTGTAATTTTCTACTTACCTCCTAACAAGTTTTTAAAATATGCTGGACACCTGAAACCAATATAATATTGTATATCCACTACATTTCAATTAAAAAAATAACTTACTCTCAACCAAAAAAGAATAAATACATTAAAATAAATAAACAGAATTAGGCCCCTCAAAATACATGCCTTAAAAACAATCTGGAATTATTCATAGTACAGCAAAAATACCAGAGTGGCTATTTCTGGGTGGTAGTACCATGAATGATTTTTTTTTAAACTGCTGTGTACTTTCTAGTGCTTTGTACAATCAATGTGGATTTCTTTGCCAATATCAAGGAAAGCTTAAGACTGTTAGGCCCATTTGTAGGGTCTTCACAAAATAAATTAATACAGATAGTCACTGAGATGACCCACAGAGATAAGCCATGATCTTCCCTGGACTGCTATCCTTATATTATACCTCTTCGCAAGAGCCAGTGTAAACATGTTGCCTGCATCCAGGCCCTGCTCTCTGGGGCCCCCAATGCCTGTTCCCTGATTTTCTTTAACCTCAGTCTCTCATCTGCTCGCCACCTTCCCACCTTTGGTACCTGACTGTCCTTCCCAACGTTGCATAAACATTTCCTATCCACCAATCCTAACAGTAGTGAGCACCACTTATCTAGTGCTTTCCACTGCTCCTTTGTGATGTGCTTAACCGTCCACAGTAGGTGTATAATCCCCTTTTTATAAAAGAAGTCAAAATTCATGGAGGCTGGCTAAACTGCCACAGTTAATTTTTTTGTCCTACATTTTCACATTGTTCTCACACCAAACTGATGAGGCAGCAGGCCATGCATCATTATTCCTATTTTACAGATAGAAACCTGAGACTCAGAAAGATGAAATAATTTGCCCAAGGTCATAATGTGAGAGAGTGGAAATGTCAGGTCTGAAAGTCAGACTCGTAGACTTTCCACCCAACAGAATGTGTCCATGAAAACCCATTTATTCACTTATTCTATGGGTATTTGCTGAGCATTTACTATGTGTCAAGCTCTGTGCTAGGCCTCAGGATACAAGGTGACCACAAGAACAAAAGCCATCAAGGTCTCTATCCTCAGGAAGCTCAGAGTCCAGTGCAGGGCAGGAGGGAGGACAAACATAGTAATTAATGGCACCAGTCATTATCAAGTTGCAACCATGAGAACTGCTACCAGTGAGGCTTCATGACATCCTAAGGGCCTCTACCTGGGGGATTTGACTTGTTCACAAAAAACAGGGAAGGCTGCTCCTAGAAAGTGATGATCCAGCTGGGGTCTGAAGGCTGAGCAGGCATTACCTAGCTGACAGGTGGAAGAACATTCTGTGGAGTGCAACCCTGATGGGCAGAAGGGTGACACCCTGGAGGGACTGATGTGGGCCAGTGTGGCAGGAGCTTGAATAGCCAGAGGGAGTGGGCTGAGATGAGCCAGGAGAGGCAGCCAGGGATGGGATCCTGCAGGGCCCTGTTGGTTGTGAGGATTTGGGTTTTCATCCCACACAGACATCATTGGAGTGTTTAAGCAGATGAGTTCCATGATCAGGTTTGTGTTTGAGAGGGTCCCTCTGACAACCATGAGGAGAGCAGACCAGCGGGAGTGGACTGAAACAATTAGGAGGCTATTGGAGCAATCCAGGCAAGAAATGATCAGAGGCTTGGATGGAAGAAGTCTCAAAGGAGCTCAAGAGCAGTGAACACATTCAAGAGATGTTCAGGCAAGTGAGGGAGAAGGTGACAAGATTCCCAGGTTTCTGCTTGTGCACTTGGAAGGATAACAGGTAATCCCAAAGGAGAAACAGTTTGGGACATTCTATGTGTGATGTGCCTTTGAGATAGTAAGAGGAGAAGATGGGAAGGGAAATAGCAGACTAGCGCTCAGAGAAGGGTCCAGGCAGGAGCTACATTCATGCACAGAGGTGGTCATTAAAGAAAGCCATGAGTGTGGGGAAGACCATGTAGTGGGGAAAAGAAAGGCCTACAACCCGGGCTTGAGGAACACTAGCATTTCACTGCTGAGGAGAAGACAGTGAGTCTGCAAAATAGACTGAGAAGGAGCAGAAGGAGAGAGATGGAAAGATGAGAAGATTCCTGTCCCAGAAGCTAAAGGGAAAGAAGGCTTCAAGAATGAAGGTGTGTCAAAGGCTGCTGAACGTCAATGAAGATGAGGGCTAGGATGTCTGCAGGATTTGCAGAGGTCACTGGTGACTGGAGAGCTAGGTGGAGGGGTAAGGATGGAACCTAGCCCGCTTGAAGCTTCCCTGCCTCACCTCGAGCATTCCAAACTTCCCATCATCCATGTGCAATAGTAAAGAGAATGGTAAAAGATTAAGGTTCATTGCATCCTTCAACAGCAAACATGTTTGTGTTGCTGCAGTGGAAGCTGTCCTTAGCCCCACCCCTGGCACATCCTTTCCTCTCTGTGCTGAGCCTTCTTCCCATCCCCCACCCCCCATGCTCACTTCATTGTCTGGTCCAGGTTCTGGGAGGTGACTCTCACTCTGAAGGCCCTTGACAATGTCTAAAAGCTGTTCCACCAGCTCTGCCAGGTCCCGACCGGCTTCTGTGAGGCTCTTCCGTACCACCACCTTTAAGAAAACAAAGCAGAGCACAAAGTTGGGCCCAAGAACCAGGCCTCGATGGAGGGAGCCTTAAACACTGGATAAGAGAAGCAGGCAAGGAAGAGGTGGAAATGTCCAGAGAACAAAGAGGTAGACCCCTTAGACCCTGGGCATGCCTCTTTCCCCTGTTGATGCTGCAGTGGCCTTGACAGGGAGCCAGAGTCCAGTTCTTTGCATCTCTAAGAAGCCCTGATGCTCCTCAAAATAGCATGTATTTTGGAAATGGGGAATGAAAGCGAAGCATGTGGGGAAGCCTAGGGGTCATTTTGAACAGGGGAAGTCAGAGGGCACAGGGTGAGAGCCTGGGGATTTGGCAGGGTGGTGGTGGCTGGTCAGATGAGTGGTGCAGGGAAGGCATCAAACCTGAGAGGTTTAAACTCCACCCTCCCCTATGAGTCATCCAGTGATTTTACCACTCCTTTCAAAAACGAAAGGTACCCTACCTCCTTCCCCTCTTCAACAGTACAAAGTATCTTGGAGACTTTAAAGTGATGTACAGATGCAAGCTCTTACTGTTTGTTCTTTGACATCCTTCACATTTAAAGAAACATCCAGGTAAGAGTCCTAAACAACTCCACATAAAGAATTTAATCTGCACAGCTGCCTGGCTGGGAGCAGGAGTAAGTTTTGCAGCCAACATTTTCTGGCAACAACCTCAAGACCTGGTGACCCTCATCAAGGGCAGGCTGAGCCCAGACCTCAAAGAACATTGCATTACCTCCAAAAGGGGGTCTTAGGGAGAGTCCGAGAAATGTAACACATTCCTCATCTGACGCTAGATAAACCAGAGTTTTTATGACTTTCTTTTGACATTTTTCATTTTTGAAATTATGCTGGAACCTCAAAACTGGAATAACCCAAAACCTTCTGCATCTCTAAGAAACCTTGATGTCCCTCAAAACAGCATGTGTTTTGGAAGCCATAAACAGGCTTTTTAGAGAAGGAAATGGCTGACTATGGGTAACACTGTTTGCTCTTAAATGTCCAGGCCCCACTCCTGGAACTTGGGAATGAAGCCCTTATTCAGGCACCAAAGCAAATTAAAAACCTTTGAGAGTAAGTGCAGTGCCTTTTTTATCCATAAAAGAAGTGCACATTTATTGTGGTGAATTTAGAAGATGCAGAGAAGGAGAAAGAAGAAATGTTATAAATCACCCAATAGCCTATTATATCCGAAGACAGTCATTTTAATTTAAAGCCAGTGGAAGAATATTCAGTTACTATAAAGTATATTAACAAAGAGTTTTAAGGACCTGAGGAATACTGCTGTATTTATAATCAAAAAGAAGAGAAAAGCTCCATTCACACTTGCAAAAACATAGAACCCACCACTATGTGCATCAAAAGGTGAATGGATAAAGTGAGACACCTCCACACAATAGGATATTACTCAGTAGTAAAAAGAAATGAGCTATCAAGCCACAAACCTTAATTTTGCTTCGTGGAAGAAGCCAGTCTGAAAAGGCCAGAAACTATATGACTACAACTACAGTTGACCTTTGAACAACATGGGTTTTAACTGCGTAGGTCCATTTATACAGCAATTCCAGTTGAACTTTAATTGTAACAATATATATGTACAAAATATATATATGAAATATGTGTCAACTATTTATGTTAAGGATTCCTGTCAACAGTGGCTTTTAGTAGTTAAGTTTTGGGGGAGCCAAAAGTTATACATGGATTTTCAGCCCCCCTTTGTCCCCATGTTGTTCAATGATCAGCTATATACGACATTGTGGAAAATACAAAACTAAAGAGAGTAAAAAAGATCAGTGGTTGCCAGGGTTTGGGGTGGAGGGTACAAACAGGTGGATTTTCAGGGCAGTAAGACCATATAATTAGGTAATTGTAGATACATGATCTCGTGCATTTGTCAGAACCCATAGAATTGTACAACACAAAGAGTGAGCCCTAATGTTAACTACGGATTTTAGTAAATAATAATGTATTAATATTGGTTCATCGATTTATAACAAAATTATCACACTAATACAAGATATTAATAATGGGAAACCATGAGGGGTATGTGGGGACTCTATGCTAACTGCCCAGTTTTCTGTAAACCTAGAAGTGCTCTAAAAATTAAAGTCTATCAATTAATGGAAAAGAAAAGAGGACATAACCTGGCTGTACATTGTGCCCTCAACTTTGTTTAAAAAAGACAGCAAAAGGGTGGAGTGGGAAGCTCCAAGCTGTCGTCACATTCTCACCCCCCCCCCAGAGAAAAACATCACAAAACAAGCAGAAACTGTCAGAAACAACTTTGTCAGAACTCTGGAAAACACTGAATGAAAAAAGAGCAACTGCACAGTAGGAAAGCTTTGTGGTGTTTTACTTGCCTTTTTGCCCCACCGGCTCCCTGGCTCAGGGACAGCACTGAAGAGCCCCAGTGTAGGACCCTAGTCCTTAGGAGCAGAGCAGACCTTCCTCACAAACTGTTGTGTGTGACTGTCCTTACCTGGCTGGGGGCTGCCTGAAGGAATGACACAGGGTACTCATCTTTGTTTCCCCTAAACTCAGAGCTCAGGCTGGAAATGTGGTGGGCATTGCTTGGCAATGCTTCGAGCTGAACTAAACTTGCAGATGTCTGGGGCAAAAGAGTATGGATGAAACATACCACAGACCACCTGAGTCCCAAAAACAAAAGCTGGGGAAGTTTCTCTGGGAAATTAGGTCATTCAAAGGTACAATGTATATGGAGTAATTTAGAAAGCCACACGCATGCCCAAGACAAAGTGCGTGCTTTGAAAAGGCCTGAGAAGTCCATAAGATCTCACCTCGAGCTGATGCCTAGGTTCAGTGTAAGCCTGGTTAAGGGCTGAAGGAGCACCCTGGCACAGGCCCATCTGCAAAGACTGGGAGAGGTGTGTCTTGTTTGTTTGTTTCTTAGTTCTTAGCATTCAAGGGAATTCCTGTCAAACACTAGCTGAACAAAAGCGAGTAAGGGAAAATTCAATGACCACACGTGACAATAAAATCAGTCTTTGCCAAAACAATTTGGCAAAGTCACTAAACAAATGGACTACTATAGCCTTCAACAATTAAAAAGAAAAAAAAGTAAGTCCTGAAGAAAGGAGAGAATCTGATTTCTAGATTTAGCATTTTAATATTCAAGTGTCCATGCTTCAATTAAAAAAATCCCAAGGCATACAAAGACAGTATGGCCCATTCAAAGGGACAAGCTAAACAGAAACTGTCCCCCAGGAAGTCTGGATGGACATCAGTACTAGACAAAGGTTTTTAAACAACTATCTTAAATACGCCCAAAGAAAAGGAAACATGGACAAAGAATGAAATGAAATCAGGAAAAGAATGTATGAATGACATGAGAATATCAATAAAGCAATCAAATTATTAAAGGAACCAAACAGAAATTCCACAGCTGAAAAGTACAATAACTGAAATGAAAATTTCACTGTAAGTGTTCAACAGCAGACTCAATCAGGCAAAAGAAAGAATCAGTGAACCTGAAGATAGGAAAATTGAAATTATCAAGTCTGAGGAGCAGAAAGAAAACAACGAAAAGTGAACCTGTGGGACACCACCAAGGCCACCAACACATATATTATGGGAGTCCCAGAAGGATAAGAGAGAGAGAGAAAGGGGCAGAGAGCATATTTGGAGAAATAATGACTGAAAATGATCCAACTTTGATGAAAAATATGAATCTACAAATCCAAGAATCTCAACAAATTCTACGTAAGACAAAGTTAAAGAGACCCACACTAAGACACATTAAAATCAAACCGTCAAAAGTCAAAGACCAAGAGAGAATCTTGAAAGTGTTAAGAGGGAAGCAATTCATCAACATATGAAGGATCCTTAGTACAGTTAACGATGATTTTTCATCAGAAACCATGGGGATCAGTTTCTGGGACAACACATTTAAAGTGCTGAAAGGAGAAAACTATCAACCAAGAATTGTACATCTGGCAAAACAACATACACCTTCAAAAATAAGGAAGAAATTAAGACATGCCCAGAAAAATAAGCTGGGAGAGTTCATTACCACTAGACCTGTCCCACAAGAAATGCTAAAGGGAGTTCTTCCAGATGAAATGAAAGGATAGGACAGTAACTAAAAGCTGTATATGAAATAAAGATCTTCAGTAAAGAGAAATACATGGGTGAATATAAAAGCCAGTATTATGTTTTTGGTTTGTAAATCCACTTTTTATTTTCTATAGGATTTAAAAGACAAACACATAAAAAATAATCAGAAATCTATGTTACTGAGCATACAATGTATAAAAATGTCATCTGTGATAACAACAACATACAGGGGGAGACCAGAGCTGTAGAGGAGCAGTTATTGTAGACTATGCATGAAACTAAGTAGGTATCAGTTTGAACTATATTGTTACAAATTTAGGATGTTAAATGTGATCCTCATGGAAACCACAAAAAAAAAAAATCTAGAAAATAGACATAAAAGGAAATGAGAATACAATCAAACTATTTAATATAAAAAAAATCAACTGAACACAAAAATGGAGGAAAACAGGGACAGAAAAGGTATAAGACAGAAAATGAATAGCAAAATGGTAGCAGTAGATCCTTCCTTATCAGTAATTACTTTAAATGGAATAAACTGCAATCAAAAGGTAGAAACTGGTAGAATGGATTTTTAAAATACATGATATAACTATAGGCTATTACAAGAGACTCACTTCAGATCCAAAGACAGAAATAGATTGAAAGAATGGAACAGGACATTTTATGCAAATAATAACCTACAGAGAGCTGGGTTAGCTATACTAATATCAAACAAAATAGTCTGTAAGTCAAACATTATTACAAGAGACGATGAAGGGCATTGTATGTTGACAGTAGGGTCAATTCAAGACATAACATATATAAACATATATGCACAAAACACAGAACTCTCAAATATATGAAGTAAACACTAACTAAATTGAAGGGAGAAGTATACCATTCTAAGAAAGTAGTTGGAAACTTCAATGCATCACTTTCAGTAATGGATAAAACATTTACACAGTAGACGAATAAGGAAATAGAGACCTTAACAACACTATAAGCTAACTAGACCTAACAGACATACACAGAATTCTCACCACAATAACAGCAGAATACATATTCCTTTCAAGTGATGATGAACATTCTCCAGTGTAGACCATACTTTGGGCCACAAAACAAGTCTCAGAAAATTTTAAAATCATGAAATCATAAAAAAATATCTTTCCCAATCAGAGTGGAATCATGCTAGAAATCAAAAACAGAAAGAAAACTGGAATAAATGTGAATAGTAAACAACACACTCAGAAGCTAAAAGAGAACAAGAGAAGCTAGAAAATATTTAGAAAGAAATGAAAATGAAAACATACTAATACTTATGGGATGCAGTTAAGGTAGTGCTCAGAGGGAAATTTATAATTGTAAATGCCTATATTAAGAAAGAAGAAAGATCTCAAATCAGAAACCTAAATTTATACCTTGAGAAACTAGGAAAAAAGGGCTAACTAAACCAAAAGCTAGCAGAAGGAAATAATAAACATTAAAATGGAGGAAAATAAATGGAGAATATAAAAACAATAGAATCAATGAAACCAAAAGTTAGTTCTTTGAAAAGATCAACAAACTGACAGATCTTTAGCTAGACTGATGACAAAAAGTAGAGAAGAGACACAAATAAAGTTAGAAAGTATAGACATTACTACTGACCTTACAAACTAAAAAGGATTTTAAGAAAATTATAAACAATTACATGCCAACAAATTAAGTAACTTAGATGAAATGGACAAATTCCTAGAAACATAAATTATCTAAAATGACTCCAGAAGAAATAGAAAATTTCAACAGATCAATAATATAGATTGAATCAGTAATCAAAAACCTCCCAACAAAGAAAAGTCCAAGACTAGATGGCTTCACTGGTGAATTGTACCAAATATTTAAGGACGAATGAATGCCAATTCTTCTCAAAATTCCAAAGTATTGAAGAGGATGGAACCCCTCTTTCATGATTAAATGAACACCCTTTTATGATTAAAAAAAAACAAAACAAAACAGAGAACTAGGAATAGAAGGGAATTTCCTCAATGCAATAAAGGGAATTTGTGGAAAAAAAAATACAACTAATATACCATACTCAATGGCAAAAGACTGAAAGTTTTCCCCAGGAGATTGGAAACAAGATAAGGTGGCCTGATTTCACCACTGCTATCCAACATTGTACCATAAATTTTAGCCAGAGCAATTAGACAAGAAATAAAAGTTATCTAAATTGGAAAAGAAGTAAAATGACCTCTATTCACATGTGACATGATCCTATAATAAAAATCCTACATAACCCACAAGAAAGCTCCTAGAGCTACCAAACAAATTCAGCAAAGCTGCGGGGCAAAAAATCAACACACAAAAACAAGTGTGTTTTTATACATCTGCAATAAATAACCCAAAAAGGAAATTTAAAAATCAGTTCCATTTATAGTAGCACCTAATACCTGGGAATAAATTCAATCAGGGAGATGGAAAGACCTGTACTTTTGAAAACAACAAAACATCACTGAGAGAAATTAAAGAAGACCTAAATGAATGGAAAGATATTCCATATTTGGGGGAAAGAAGACTTAATATTGTTAAAATGGCATTACCTAGAGTGATCTACAGATTCAACGCAATCCCTCCCAACATTCCAACTGCCTTTTTTGCAGAACAGAAAAACCTATCCTCAAATTCAGATGGAATTGCAAGGGGCCCTGAATAGTCAAAATAATCTTGAAAAAGAACCAAGTCAGATGACTCATCTTCTTAATTTCAAAATTTCCTACAAAACTATAGTAACCAAACAATGTGGTATAGACATAAGGATAGACATAAAAACCAATGGAATAGAACTAAGAGCCCAGAAATAAAGCTATTCATCTATGGCCAACTGATTTTTTTATAAGGGTGCCAAGTTCACATAATGGGTAAGAACAGTCTTTTCAACAAGGAGTGCTGGGACAACTGGATTCCACTTACAGAAGAATGAACTTGGAGCCCTACATCAAGCCAATTAGAAAAATTATCTGAAAATGGATCAACAACCTAAATATAAGACTTTAAAGCACAACACTTTTAGGAGAAAATATACGAGTGCATCTTTATGAACTCAGATTTGGCAAAGAATTCTTAGATATGACACCAAAACAAGAGCAACAAGAGAAAAAAAAACAGATAAATCGGACATCATCGAAACTTAAAACATTTGTGCATCAGAGGATACTATCAAGAAGGTAAAAAGATAATATACAATATGGAAGAATATATTTGCAAGTCATATATCTAATTAGGGTTTAATATCCAGAACAAAGAATTCCTTAAGCTCAACAACAAAAAGACAACCCAATTTTTAAAAAGTCAAAGGACTTGAGTAAACATTTCTCTAATGAAGATACATAAATGACCCATAAGCACATGAAAGATATGGTCAGGCAACATTGTTAATCATTAGGGAACTGCCTGTCAAAACCCTAATGAGATAGTACTTCACACCTAATGGAAAGTTATACTTAAAAAAGCAGGGGCAGGGGGAAAGGAAAATAACAAATGTTGGCAAGGACATCAAAAAACTGGAACTCTCCTACTTTGTTGATGGAAATGTAAAATGGTGTGTTTGCTATGGAAAAGTTTAAGCTGTTCCTCAGGAAGTTAAACATAGAATTACCATATGGCTCAGCATTTCTATTCCTAGATATTTACCCAAAAGAATTGAAAATCTGGACGTAAGATACTTGTACACCAGTGTTCACTGCAATATTACAATAACCACATGGTGGTAGCAATCCAAATGTCCGTCCAGGTATGACGGGATAAACAAAATGTGGTATATACATACAATGGAATATTACTCAGCCAACAAAAAGTAAGTTCGGATACATGCTACAACCCAAATGAACCCTGAAAACAGTAAGTGCAAGAAGCCAAACACATCAGAACAAATATTGAATGATCCCAATTATATGAAATAGCTAGACTGGGCAAATTCATACAAAGTAGATTAGAGGTTACTAGAGGTTGGAGGGAGGGGGGAAATAAGGAGTTACTGCTTACTGGGTATGAAATTTCTGTTTGCGAAGAGGAAAAGTTTTGGAAATGGACACTGGTGATGCTTGCATAACTTTATGAATGTAACTAACACCGCTGAACTGTAAACTTAAAAATGGGGTAAATGGCTAATATATATATGGCCACGAGCTAATTTTCAAAGACAGGCAGACTGCGGAAAGATTGGAAAGGGGTGGAAATATGCCCAGGTGTATGTACAACAGCTAGGTTGATAGAATTTCAGACGTCATTTTTTTCTCCGGCTTCTTCATACTTTTCTGAGCCTTTCCAAGGCCGGGTTCCACTCTTAGCCTGAAAAGTAATGAAAAGTAGAAAGGCTGGAAATGGGGAGAGCCGGGGGTAATGGGGAGCCGGCGGCGCGGGCGGGCCGGGGCGAACAGCGGAGCCGCCCCCTACCGGCAGCGGAGCAGCACAGCGTGGGGCCCGGGGCGCGGCCTGGGCGCCGGGCGCGGAGTCCGAGTCGGAGCCGGAGTTGGGGCCGGGGCCGGCCTCCCGCTGGCGCGCCGCGCGGCTGTACTTGTCCGCCAGGTCCTGCAGCAGCGTGTTCTTGCGCAGCTGCAGCCGCGGCGCGACGCCCTGGCGGCAGGTGGGGCAGGACCGGTGGCGCCCGGCGCCCGCGCACACCCACAGGCCCTTCAGGCAGTCCAGGCAGAAGCTGTGGCCGCAGGGCAGCGTGGCGGGCGAGGCGAGCAGCCCGTGACAGATGATGCAGCCCAGGTCGTCCTCGGTCAGCCACACGGGGACCGCCGGCTCGGGGTCCAGGCCCGCCATGGTGACCAGGGCGCCGCCGGGACGTCCCGCCCGCCGCGACGTTTCCGGCCGCTCCTCCCTCGCTCTTCCCCGCCCCTCCTCGTCCGCCGCGTCTTCCTCCCCCGGCTCGGGCGCCTGCCGTTTCCACGGCTCCGGTCCTGAGGGACGCTTCCTTGCAGTCTCCATCGCCCGGCACGCGGCGCCCCGGGGCAGAGGGTCCTCACGGCCTCCGGCGCTGGGAATCAGCTCGTCCCAAGCGCGACTAAGCCGCTGACCTCCCAAAGGTCCTTTAGCTGGATGCACCCGTCTCCCTCCCAATTAAAATGCAACTTCGACAACTCGTGGGAGAAAAAAAGAGGGCTCGAGTCTAGAACGCTTTTATGAGAGTGCGCCCACTAGGCGTCATCCAGACCCTCCAACACGCAGTGAGGGGTTTAAGAACCGCCGGCCCGCTTAGCTGGGGAGCTCTTTAAAAATAGCGATGTTGGGGCTCCACCCCCAAGGTCCCATTTCATTATCTGGGTGGAGGCCGGCACCGGTATTTTTTTTAAAAACTTGCCCCAGATGATTCTAACGCGCAGCCAAAGTTGAGTCACCCCTTAATTTAAAATTGAGATTACAATGCGGAGGTGTGTCTCTGTCCCCTTGCTGCACTCTGCTGGCCGAAAGCACGTTCCTCAACAGGCTTCGGGACAAAAGTACTATACAAAGTGTGTCTTCTTGAAGTAGCCGGGCCCTGGCTGCTCTTGCTGGCTTCCTCCTCTGCTCTTCTAATGTAAGCGCATTGCAGATGGAAAACGTTGACGCTGAAAGAGCATCAGATCCACCTCAAAGACCCAAAGAGAAAAGGGAAAATCCAGGCTTAATAGTAACTGAGTGGCGGAGACCATATCTGATCTGCTGAAATGAGCTAACAGTGTCTTACTTTTTTTTTTCAGCCCGTCTTACCTGCTCTCAAAGTAGAGACCAGATAATACAAATTTGCAGATGTTTCCAATACTGGAAATGACAGGTAGTAGACAACAGAATGACCTATTAGCACTGCTCATGGAAGTTGCCAGGCTTTTTCCTTTCTAGGCACCTCTAGGATTGGCACTTCTCTGACCCACTTGAAATACACATAAGTAACACTAACTTCCAGCAGCTTAAAAACCTAGTAAGTCATGATATCTCTTCCTGCCAGCTGCCCTGACTGTGTGGCCTTGATCTCTGAGCAGCTAAGATGAGCAGAACCCTTGCCCAAACCAACACTAGGATATGTGGTCAAGCAGAGAAAGAAACTTGAGATTTGTTAAATTCACGGAGATTTAGGGGGTGGTGGCTGCTGCAGTGTAACCTAACCTATCCTGATATATTCCCTGGATTTTGTTTTGGAGTTTCCTTGTTTGTAATAAACTCACAGCTTCTTTGTGCCTCTTTTCTGAAAGATAAGCATGATACCCAACACACATGTGGAAAGCTTCCGTCTTAAAAGGTAAAATCTGTGACATACGTCTTTCTCTCTAGACCGTTATGCATACAAGTTTCTTGAAAGAATGGATCAACCAGTGGTCTTCAGACTTATTTTATGGACACCCTCCTAAACGTTTTAGGCAAAAACATGCAGTGGCTTTAAGAAAGGGTGGAGGGCTGGAGTAGTCAGGCTGAGCTGTAAAGATGCATGAACATGTTCTTCATTTATGTTGGAAATTTTAATATTCTTTCATCTTAAACTTGTATTTCCATCCCATTTTCTCCACAGAACTATATTCTAGGGTGGGAGTCTTGTATCATTTTGTAATCACTTACTTTGTAATAATTCTAAGCAAGAAAAATACGTATTTTGAATCTTTCACTTCTTGTTGAATGCTTCTTCTGGATTGAATTGTCATTACGATTATTATTAGCAGTCAATCAAAAACATAGATTTTAAATTTATATAAGTAATTATTAAATAAGAAGTAAAAACTTTATTGTAATTACAGCTCTTAATGAGATGGATGGGCTGGTTTCCTTTAAAAATGCATTTAACTAGGGATGAACATTTTTTCCCCAGCTTTATTGAGATATAAATGACATATAACACTAACTTTAAAGTGCACAATGTGATGATTTATTTGATGCATGTATATATTGCAAAATGGTTACCCTCCATCACCTTGCATAATTACATTTATTTAGGGAAAAGGGTGCAAACATTTAAGATCTACTCTCTTAACAACTTTCAAATATACGATACAATATAGTTGACTACAGTCACCATCCTATACAATAGATCCCCAGAATTTATTCACCTTACAACTGAAAGTATGTACCCTCTGTCCAACGTCTCCCCATTTCTCTCACCCTCCAGCTCTTGGCAACCACCATTCTACTCTCTTTTTCTGTGAGTTTGGCTTTTTTTGATTCCATATATAATTGAGATCATACAGTATTTATCTTTTTCTGTCTGATTTATTTCACTCAGCATAATATGCCCTTAGAGTCCATCCATGTTGTCACTAAAGGCAGATTTCCTTTGTAGTGGCTAAATTATATACAGACATATATATATATATGTGTGTGTATATATCCCATTTTCTTTATTCATTCACCTGTCATTGGAGATTTAAGTTGTTTCCGTGTCTTGGAAATTGTGAGTAATACTGCAATGAACGTGAGGTGCCAATATCTCTTCAAGATAGTGGTTTCATTTCCTTCAGATAGATACCAGAAGTAGGATTGCTGGATCATATGGTAGTTCTATTTTTATCTTTTTGAGAAACCTCCATACTGTTTCCCTACTGGCTGCATCGATTTACATTCCCACCAACAGTGCACGAGGGCCTCCTTTTCTCCACACCCTTGCGGATACTTGCTGTGTCTCATCTTTTTAATGGTAGCCATTCTAATAGGTGGGGTGTCACCTCATTGTGATTTTGATTTGTACTTCCCTGATGATTAGTGGTATGGCACCTTTTCATGTACCTGCCTGTAGGTCATTTGTATGTCTTCTTTGAAAAAATATCTATTCATGTCTCCTGCCCATTTTTTAATTGTATTATATGGGGTTTTTTTTGCTGTTGGATTATATGAGTGATGAACATTAACACTAGAATTAGATAAGGGTTAACAATAAATTCTATTCCTATTTCTTGTTTTTATAAATGTTAGTGCTGAGAAACCTTGTCTACATTTATATACAGATGACAATAATGTCCCACATTTTGTTGAACACTTTGAGATATATGCATAAAGTCACATAGTAATTTGATTAATCAATAATTTAATTAATCAGAATTAATCTCTTGTCTGACAAACTTAACTAGATTTTCCTTTCTTCTTTACTGAACGCAAAGAATTTGAAACTACCTGTGTTGCAAAAGTTATTAAAAGTATTTATCATTTTCTGGAAGGTATGCTCAAAAGACTTTACCAAAGTTTATCAAATTACTATCAATTATACCAGTTCCCTTGTAATTTAGAAAGACTTTGTTTAACCTGATATACTCAAAAAAAGGCTAGGAAAATTAAAATGTTCATTTCAATACACTTTTGTCAATCTAATATTTCTTTAGAAAGGTACTTTTATTATATTTGAAGGATATTTTCTTTAAAAGAAAGTTTGAAGCTGCAGATTTAGCTCATCCAATTCATGCAAAATATTTGCCACATTACATAATTGGCAATGCCAGTTCTCATAGTCAGACCAGTTCATCCAATCAGACTCATTTTCTATCAGAGAGTCAGACATCATTGTTAAATTAAAAAAGATGTGTTACTACATGTCCTGTGACGCTGGGCCCTAACACTAAGATGAGAAAGGACGAGACCCTTGTGTTTGTGCGCTGGATGAAATAAGGTGCAGCCTCCATTAGCAGCTACCAGTTCCTTCTTTGCTTTGCTGTTATGGAAATCCTTCAGGGGCAAAGCATATTTTGTCAAGGAAGAGGTCATGAAGCATACATTATCTTTACTTCCACTCTGCTTTATATGAATTCAAAACATCCAAACATACACTCTGCATGACTGCATTGTCTTTCTAAAATTCAAATTTAATCGTGTGGCATCCCTGCTTAATGCCTCCAGTATTGTGAGTCCAAAAGCCTTTCAAGTGGCTTGTAAAGCCTTCCTGATCTGCTGCCAGTCTCTTCAATCTCACCTGTAAGTGTGCACTCTCTCCCCATCTGTCTCTCTCTTTCTCTCATTCTCTCTTTTTTTTTTTGATCAGTCTAGCTAAGGGTTTCTTGTCTTTATTGGTCCTTAGGAAAAAAACAACAACACTTCAGTGTGTAGTGGGGTTGGAGGGAGTGGAATAGGTAAAGGGGATAAAAAGGTACAAATTTTGAATTATAAAATAATTAAGTCACAGGGATGGAAGTACAGCATAGGGGATATAGCTCTTAATATTGTAATATATTTGCATGGTGATAGATAGTAACTACGCTTATCATGGTGAGCATTTAGTAATCCTCATATTGTTAAATCACTAAGCTGTTTATCTGAAGCCAATATAATATTTGACATAAACTGTATTTAAGTTTTTAAAAATTAAAAAATAAAAACCACTTCTGGCTCTGCTCATTTTCTCTATCATTTGTCTATTTTCCATTTCATTGATTTCTGCTTTATTATTTCTTTCCTTCTGCTTGCATCGGGTTTAACTTTGCTCTTCTTTTTCTAGCTTCTTCAAGTGGCACCATAGGTTAAATGCTGTCTTTTAGAAATGTGCACTGTATGTGTAATTAAAAATTTTCAGTACCTGTATGTTCAAAAGTAAAAAGAAACAGATAAATTAATTTTAATGATGTATCTTATTAACCAATATAATCAAATATTATCATTTCAACATGTAATCAACATAAAATACTTTAATGAGGTATATACATTAACATTTTGTACTAAATCTTTGGAATCTAGTGTACATTTTACGCTTATAGCACATCTCAAATTAGATGTTAAATTTTCATTGGAAACACTTGATCTGCAATTAGATTTCATAAAATTTGCAGTTGAAAAAGTTCACATATCCAAGTTGTTGCAAATACGCTTAAAAGTTTTCCAATAACTGAGTGAACTGTCAAAACATAATCTTCCTTTAATATTCACATTTGCACTGACTGACATGCTTTCTTATCTTGTAGAAAAAACTAATTTAGCTTTGACGTAAAAGTGTATCAGTTTGAAAACTGTGCCTGTGCAAGTTGAATACATTTATGAACTCTAGTGTGAACTCAGTATTATTTCAGATAGATAATACATGTATTTAAAAGCAACTTCAGTATCAGTAAAGCATTCTTCAAATTTTTCTTGTAGTCCTTGT